TCTTTTTCTGTTCCTCAGATGGAGTAGGAAGTGCAAGGAACTCATCCCTCTACCTAGATAACAATTGTCCTGGCAGAATCTCAAGTAACTATTTTGGAACTCTGGAGTCTATTTGAAAACTTGCATTTTCCAGGGGAAGGCTTGGTTGGTAAATTGAGGTTCATTTCAGTGTCAGTCTTCAGTATGATAACACCTAAGCTTCTCTTACCCCTTCAGCTTGTGGCAGGCAATCATCTTTACATTCAAGTGTGCTTGCTGGAGCCAGGATAGGAAATAAGAACCTTGTTCTCCAAATACTTGAGTTCTGTATTATGTGACATATAACCTATGGTATGTGCTAGCCCAAAATGTTTGACTTCAGTCCATTGAAACTTGAGATATAACTAGAAATCATATCTCGAGGAAATACAAGGTCTAGAGCAAGCATGTCAAACTCAAGGCCCGTGGGCTGCATGTGGCCCACAATGAATATGTTTGTGGCCCAGCTAATATAATTGTATGTAAGAAACATTTTAATAAAAATTTTGTAACTTGTTACAATATCCTGTTATACATAATTATTAATAACGAACTACAACATTTGCTAATGACTGATTACTCTAAACATGTTGCATTCATTTCCCTTACTTGCCTTACCTGCAGGTGCACCATTTCTCTCCACTAATACCAGCAGCGAATATTTTAGCAGTTGATTGCCATGTCATTAGTCTTGTACTTACTTGTTTGGTGTGCCCAACAGGAAATATTTCGCTTTTGGAGAACAAGAAAAATAGGTTTATTTGCGTTGCACTTATTAATTTGTGCAGTTATTCAGTGTCTGGTAAGTTAATGTTCAAGGAAAAATATTAATTTTTATTAAAATGTTCTATTATTTTATGTTAACGTTACTCATTTATTTCAGCCCTTTGGTTTTTTTTTAATATATTTTTTATTGATTAAGATATTACATATGTGTCCTTGTCCCCACGTTACCCTCTACACCCCCCCCCGCTCATGCCCTCACCCCCCCGTTGTCCATGTCCATTGATTAGGCCTATATGCTTGCATATAAGTCCTTTGGTTGATCTTTCCCCCTTACCCCCACCCTCCCCTACCTTCCCTCCAAGTCCCGACAGTCCAATCAATGCCTCTCCGTCTCTGGATCAGTCCTTGTTCATCAGTTTATGTTGTTCATTATATTCCACAAATGAGTGAGATCATGTGGTATTTATCCGCTCTCCAGTTCCATCCATGCTGTGGCAAATGGTAAGAGTTCCTTTTTCTTCTTCCTCTTCTTAAAGAATACCTTTCAGCATTTCATATAATGCTGGTTTGGTGGTGATGAACTCCTTTAGCTTTTTCTTATCCGTGAAGCTCTTTATCTGACCTTCTATTCTGAATGATAGCTTTGCTGGATAAAGTAATCTTGGTTGCAGGTTCTTGCTATTCATCACTTTGAATATTTCTTGCCAGTCTCTTCTGGCCTGCATGGTTTCTGTTGAGAAATCAGCTGACAGTCGTATGGGTACTCCCTTGTAGGTAACTGACTGTCTTTCTCTTGCTGCTTTTAAGATTCTCTCTTTATCTTTTGCTCTTGGCATTTTAATTATGATGTGTCTTGGTGTGGTCCTCCTTGGATTCCTTTTGTTTGGGGTTCTCTGCGCTTCCTGGACTTGTAAGTCCATTTCTTTCACCAGGTAGGGGAAGTTTTCTGTCATTATTTCTTCAAAAAGGTTTTCAATATCTTGCCCTCTCTCTCCTTCTGGTACCCCTATAATTCTGATGTTGGTACGCTTGAAGTTGTCCCAGAGGTTCCTTACACTATCTTCATATTTTTGGAATCTCTTTCTTTTCTTTTTCGGTTGGGTATTTTTTGTTTCTTTGTATTTCAAATCTTTGACTTGATTCTTGGGATCCTCTTGTCTGCTGCTGGATCTCTGTAAATTATTCTTTATTTCAGTCAGTGTATGCTTAATTTCTAGTTGGTCCTTTTTCATGTCCTCCATGGTCTCACTATACTTATTGAGGGATTCATTAAATTTATCGGCGGTTTCCATAAAATTCTTGAAAAACCTTATAAACGTGGCCTTGAACTCTATATCCAATCGTTTGCTTTCCTCCATTTCTGCCATTTGTGACCTGTTTCTTTGTCTCCGCATTTTGGCAGCTTCCCTGTGTTGATAGAGTGGCCCTGCGCGCCAGGTGTCCTGTAGGGCCCAGTAGCTCAGCCTCCCCAGTTACCTGGGGTGGACACTCTTGGTGCACTCTTGGTGCCTTGGTTGTTGTAGGATCACTGGGAGGAATTGACCTCCAGGCCAATTGGCTGTGAGAATCAGCTGTGTCTAAAGTGGGAGAACTTCTGTGCTGAAGACACCCTTCTGGGGCAAGACTTGCTTCAGTGGGGCTTTGGTGCTCACTGAGTCTGCTCCCTGAGTGTGTCCCTTATGGATCTGAGGAGTTGCAATCTGGATGGTCCCCCTCTGACCACTGGGTACAGTGGCTCCTGGATCTAAGGAGGTGCTAATTCAGCCTCTGCCTGAGGCCACACAGCAGGAGCCACGAAGAGGCTCAGCTGTGAAGCAATGCAAGCCGCTGCGAGGCCTTGGGCCTTCTTTTGGAAGTTCCGGGTCTGCCTGGCTCTGCTGCAGTTAGGTACATTCACATGCAAAAGCCTCTGCCGCAGCCTGGGTGGGGCGGGGTCTCAGGGAATCCAAGGGCAGATCAAGGAGCTATGGCTGATTCTCCGCCCGGAGTCGCGGGTCTCAGTGACCCGCTAATTGCTGCAAGCACCTCTGAGGGAAAGCTGCCTTCAAGTTCGCCCGCTGCCGGACAGACCAGCTTCTCCCCGTATGAGTCCTGGGTCCCCAGAGACTTCCCGGAACCGGAGTTCAGACCAGTCGGGAGTTTGTGATTCAAAAAGACAGCCGCGTCCTCAGGTGCCACCCCCTTTACTCGCGCGCGCGAGCTGGCCTTACCTCTGCACTTGTACCTCTGCACTTCACCTCTGCAGCTCCTCTGGCTCTCAGCGTGCTTTTCTTTCCTTCTAGTTGTAGAATTTACACTCAGCCAGCCTTCCTGTTGTTCTGGATGATGTTTGCTCTGTCCTTTGCGGTAATTTTCAATTGTTGTGTGAGGCAGCAATTTCCCGGTGTTTACCTATGCCGCCATCTTAGTTTCTCCTATTTCAGCCCTTTGGATTCAGCATGTCTCTATCGAAATAAACACATGTTTCTATGAAAGTTGAAGCTTTTGTTTTTGTCCGTCCCATATAAACTTAAACCTTGTTTATTTGGCCCATGTTAGTCTTTGAGTTTGACATGCTTGGGAGAGGAACAAACTAACCTTGAGGAAGCAAATATTTGGATTCAGAAGGTGCTTAAAGTGGTCTAATTTCTTTAATGCCAATGTCTTTAAATTTTTTTTTTAAGGGCTACATTAAAAAATACTTGGGAACACTACTAGAAGCAATATGTGGCCCTGGATTTGATACTAACTTGGGAAAACTAGCTGTAAAAAAATGTATTGCAGGTGACAGAAAATTGATTATAGTTAGGTATTAAATGAGAGGAAGATTTACTGAAATATTACTGATTTGGGAAAGCCAACAGGAAAAACATTGTTAGGTTGATATATAATTTGAATATGATCCAGGAATTATATGAGAGGAAAAGTGACTGAAATAATGTGTATGTTCGTTGACTAAAGTAGATTTCTATACTGTGACGTCATTTTGAAAAACTATGTTGACACAGAAGGACGTATTTAAAGTATTAACATTGGTGGTGGGAATGTGATATTTTTATTTATTTTAGCGTGTGTGTATTTTTCTCCAAGATATAGTATTCTGTAATAAAATGTTGTTACAAAATTTTCTCTTAAGGTTTACATATATATTGGGGTGTACATGAGTCAAGAAGTACATGCATGTATGGTCACCAAAATAAAAGTGGTTGTCAGGAATTCAGGGCATTTTACTTTCTTCCTAATACTGTATCTTTTAAATGGGTATTATTACTATATAAGTGTATAAGGAGAAAAGGAACAGAACTATTTCTTGAGGGAGTTTAGCTAGTCTATTGTGGCAGACAAGTCACAAAGAGGACTGTAACAGAACACAGCTTTTTCTCTGGTTGATTTTGATTCAATATCCACAGGAAAACATTGGGAATGAGTCACTGACCAGGAAAGAGCATATGCTATTTGAATGAAAAGAAAAGAGTAAGGAAGAGGTTGTAGAATTATAAATTATCAAGACTGAAATAGCACCTTTAATCATTGTTTTTATTTCCAACTACATTGTTAATTTATTCAGGACAGGGAATTCAAAATTCGTTACATTGTCTTTGCTCCATATTCTACTTTTGAATGATTTTCAAATAAAATTCCAGCCGCACTTTCGAGTAACACTGAAACAACCTTGTTCATTTCTGTGCAATTCTGCGTGCCTCTAATAAGCTCAAGGCCTTGGACAGAGAGAAGTTTTACTTCTAGACTGAATTCTCTAACTTAGGTTGGGCTCCTTTGTAAAACGAGAAAACTCAGATTTCTCATATGTTTGTAGTAAAGCCAAATAAGATATCCGGGACCCATCACTATCCTTGGCACATTCGTGCGCTCTCAATAAAGGCCAGGTGCGTTGACTAACACTGTTAAGCGCTGCTTTTGAAGAAGTACTCAACGTGAAAGGTGAGAAGATCCCCTGCTCAAAAGGTGCTAGCAGCCCGCGTCCTCTCCCGCTGCCTCCTAATCCCTCCATCCCGGTCCTGCTTCCAGTCCCTGCTCAGCCACTACCTTGTCCAAGCCCACCGGCCACGGGGCTCCTCGCCAGTGCAGACCCCGCGCAGGCGCAGACTAGGGGCGGGCTCAAAGCCCAGGTGGGGCGTCGAGGAGAGGAAGTACGCCCTCGCCGCTTGTTGTTGGGCCAATGGGGCGGCGCGGCTCAGCCGCGGACCTATGACACGGGGCGGGAGGCGGGCAGAGAGCGGAAAAAGCCGCTCTCACGTGAATAGGGGGGCGGGGAAGACGGGGGCTGGGCAGCTAGGGAGGCCCAGGCGACGAAGCCTCCCGGACGGCGAACGGCAGGCGGTGGAGGAGGAGACGGCAGGTCGGGTAGGGCCGCGTTTCCCCTCCTCCTCCTCCCACCTTCCCTCTACCAAGCCAGTGGGTATCCTCCGCGAGGAGCCAACCTGTGTTCCCATCCCGCGGGCCTGGGCCGGGGAGACTGCGTTCAGCTCCCTCGAAGAGCCGTGTTGTGAGGGGAGCTGTGATTGGGGGGAGGGGAAGCTGCGGCGGAGGGGAGAGGGCGCATGCGCAGGTGGGAACGCTCTCGGCGCCCCTGCCCGAACCGGTTCCCCCTGTCTTGGGTGGGTGTCTGTCTGCAGAGTCTTACACTTGTGGCTGCCCCTGTGGGCCCCTAGCAAAGCCGGTTTGGCTTTTGACTTTAATGTTTGGGGCCAGGTCCTGTGTGGGCATCTGGCCTCTTCCTCCGCCTCAGTTTCTCCCTCTTGCCCCCAGGGCCCGTATCTGACTTGGGCTGGCCTCGGCCCCGGCCCGTCTTCCTGGGCTGTGACTCATTTGAAAGACTTGCTTTCTTCTGGTGTGGATCTGCCCTCTCGTGCTGGCCTTACCATCTCATTTTCCCCGCCTAAACTTGAAGTGCCTGCGGCATCCCACTCGCCCCATCTTCTTTAAATATCTGCTCCCAATACTTCCTTGCTGTGGATGCAAACTTCAGGGTTTTCGGTGTTAAGCCAGAAAATAACCAGACTTCCAGGAATTCGCTGTCCATTGCCTGGTAGTACTTTGGTCAGTATCATTCAGACTGTTACCGTCTGCACCTGCTTTTACAGGCATTTCCATACTAGGGTTACTCGGGGATTCTTTTAATTTATATTGGAAGCAGAAGTAATCATGGTACTGGTACTCTACTAGTTCTCCGTTAGTTCAAAATCCTGTTCCTATTTGAATGTGAGATATTTTAGCTTTTGCTATTTTTATCAATGGAGGGAAAAAAAAACTGCCAGGGATAGGTTTCATAATTATTTTGTTATTTTCACTCTAATAAACACCTGTATTCACATACACGTGTGTGTGTGTGTGTGTGTGTGTGTGTGTGTGTGTTTCCAGCTGCTTTGTTTATTTAGGAAGTAAAAAACAATGGAGGGTGACTTGAACTGTGTCACATTAAACTAATGTTTGAAAAGTAGTTGAAAAAAAGGCTTAGTTGCCAAGGAAGTGCACATTTAACTTAAAAAAAAAAAAAAAGGACCTGTTGGTGGAGAGTGCTGTTTTATATATTTTGAAGGCTTTTAAATAGTGTTTACTCAAACTGCAAATGAATAAGGGAGGGAATTCTTTGTGATCTTGCTTTGTAGAACTCAGTTTGCATTAGTAAAATTTGAATCCATGATTGATTTGTATGGGTAACATTTAAAATTCATAAGTGGCTTTAATAGGATTTATCAACTCAAATTTGTAATTGAACTGTTGCTACTTTTTGGTACATTTCCTTTTTGTTGTTTTAGTTTTATAATTCAGTTTACAGTTAATTAACTCGTTGGTGTTAAGGTATATATTTGTCTGGATAGTTAACCTATAACTATATACACATTTTGGCCTTTTTTTGGCATGGTGTTCTATTAGCAGTTTACAGGTGCTTACTCTGGATCAAGAGGTAATTTAGTGATACTGTGAAAGTGAAGGCACCTGCTTCTTATCTTTTCTACTGCATATTGAAAGAAGTGTATTCTGCATATTATTTACATGAGGGTGACATGATTTTTCCACAAATATATATCAACTTTACAGCCCAGATTCTTTAAAGAAGTCATTGTCTTTTATTGAGTATATTTCCAGCTAGACTTTGCAGCCCAGATTCTTTTAAAGAAGTCATTGTCTTTTATTGAGAATGTGTCCAGCTAAAATAAAGCCTACTTTGAAGGTCTCATCATTTCACAGTAATTGTTTTAACAAGTGACCTTTGACTGCAGGCTTCAGAAAATAATTCATTTAAATTGGTGCTACTGTTGAGTGTGCTGAGGTTTTGACATAGGCTGCCTATAATATCTGTGTAGTTTTCAATATAATCAGATATCATTAACCTTTTCAAGCATGTGGAATAAATGAATAAAACTCGTATCATCTTTCTTGGTGATAAAACTCAAATATTAAAGACATACTAATTTAACCAACGTAGATAACTCATAGTTGGGCATGACATTTGGGTGCTTTGTATGTAATTGGCTTATTTTATTGGTTTTCCATAGTTAGGTCCCAAAGAAAGAAAATCCAAGGCTAAAATAGAGTCATGCCCATTGGTATATATGAAAAAAAAAACAGTGTATTAATTTAACAGCTGTTTCATTTTGCAATAATTTGGTTACCTTGTTCTCTCCCTCCTGCCCTCTTGTTTTCTGATCATCCTCAGATCATTATTCTTTAGAAAACTTGTAAGTCAAAACAATATTAGATAAACATTTAAACTTACATTGTAACCTCTCTTGTTGACCCTAACAGCTATGTTTCTCTTTGTGTGCAAAGACTGACCAAATATGGCAGTTTGCAAGTCATTAACACTTTAGTTTATAGAATTTAGCCTGGTAAGTTTTTCTCTTTCCAAAGCAACTGTAATACTTTGAGGTAGTCAACAGTGAGAATTTCTTAATGGTTCTTTATATCATAGTAGAGTTCTATAAGGCCTAACCTCCCCCCACCCCAATCCCTTTTTCTATGGATCATTAAATAGTAAAAGTAAAACTTGTTTTCAAGTTCATGCATGACATTAAATAGTGTATATTCCCTTGGCTTTAAAATGTGAAGGAGTATATCTATATTTTTGAAACTTCTTTTTCCCATTTTCCATTATTTGTACATTTTGGTAATTATAACCATCAACCTATGGTTATGATTTTCCGTTTTCTGAGGATGACCTTTATATCAGGGAAAGAAATTGATATGTAGAATCTTTCTTAGGGGACATATTGTAAATATCATCAAGGGTATTAGAGACAGCATTTAAGGCTAAATTGGATTGAAAGTTGGGTATTTCTGTAATACGACTGTAGGGAAGAGGCTTGAGTTAATCATTTTAATATTTTTACTGTATAGGCAATAAACTCTATATGCTTGACGTATGCTGATAAATGGTTTCTGGCAATGTAAGAGTAGGAACATATCACATAAACCCCTTTGCTGTGATACACGATTGTCTATGAATAGACCTCTGATATAACTGCAGAAGAGAAATGGTATGGTTATATCTTTATTGTACTTACCTGTTTAGTTCTCTGTGAATTGAAGAAAAGAGTGATTTCTGTCTAAAATTGTTCCCTAGCAGAAGGTTTTATTTTTGCTTTTGCTTGTGAGAAAAGATCTTTTCAGATAGTTTTAAAAACACCTGTGGAACTTAAATATTTATTAAAATTTTTAATATTATGCAGTGCCAATTCCAGTGCTGTTAATGAAGATGCTCAGAAAATGTTTATTGATTGCCCATACTTGTCAAATGTCCCACCATCCTTGTGAAACTGTGGACCAGGGTCTTTTGTTTTTATTTATTTTTTTTATCAGAAAGTGCATGAAACGTGTCTTTTGCCAGACATTTGTGGTTTGTCTATACACATTCCCCTGAAAATCATAGGTCATAGAAAGGAGAAACCATATTTATTGCATATATCTTAGGCTTTGGTTATCTATCAAATGATTTGCTTGCATGGCATTAAATTCACATAGTTTAAGGAGAAATGAGTAATATAAATGTTTCAGATTTGAGTGTAGACAGGTTGATACTCTAAATGGGATAGATTCGTTTTCTTCACTGTAGATGAGAAGAAAACATGAGACTAATTTCCTAAAAGGAAGAAAAGTTTTTGAATGATTCTGTATTGCTCAAAAATATTCACATTTTTATATTTATAAAATGAATTATATTATGCTTTAGAAATTTGTTTCAGAATAAGTAAAGACAAGGTCACCTTTAAAAAATATCTATATTGCCGAACCGGTTTGGCTCAGTGGATAGAGCGTCGGCCTGCAGACTCAAGGGTCCCTGGTTCGATTCCGGTCAAGGGCATGTACCTTGGTTGCGGGCATATCCCCACTGGGGGGCGTGCAGGAGGCAGCTGATCGATGTTTCTCTCTCATCGATGTTTCTAACTCTCTATCCCTCTCCCTTCTTCTCTGTAAAAAATCAATAAAATATATTAAAAAACAAACAAACAAACAAAAAACACATTCATAAAAAAAAATATCTATATTAGCAAGGTCAGAAAAACAATCTGACCTTGTGAATGAGTAGTAAAATAATATTAAGCTGACTTTTCCTGTGTTCCCAGAGATAAGTGTCTGTTGTGGAAATGCCATCGAATAATTTAAATATTTTGTTTCAGAGCTACTGTGTTGAAGTGAAGCTTACCTAGAGGTCTGGGGGTGGGGGTGGGGGGGTTCTGTTTCCTGAAATAGCCACGGGAACATGGGGGAAACCACTTATATGGGCTAGTTTTTTCAGGTGTCAACAGAATTGCACTTAATCAGTAGTGTTAAATGAGTTTTAGGTGCTTTTCATCTCCTGGCCTTACATCTTCTGTCTTTCACTGACTAGAGGTATCAGTATATAGAGAGGAGAGTGTGAACTTTAGAATAAAAATGATTTATATTTCCCAAGCCTGCCACTTACTGAGTATATTATATAACTAAAGGTAACCTACTTAATGACTCTGAGACTCAGTTTCTTCACCTGTAAAAATGGAACTAATGCTTCTATCAAGGATTAGGACTTGAAAGCACCTGGCATCCCTGCTCCTTTCCTGGATACTCTCATTCACAAGATAATAGAAAGGGTTCAGTCCCCTCATTTTACATATGAGAAAACTGAAGCTATAATATCATGTATTGTATATCAAAAAAGGACTAAGAAGTTCAACTCCCAGTTGTTGTTTTTTTTAAAACCAGACTGTTGTTGACTTTTAAAAGTCTTAATGAAGCTTGATTATTCATGAGAAAGTGAGAAATAACTCTGAAAACATTGACTGTCTTCTTTAGGCACTTTACTGATTTTGTGAGTTTTATTCTAACAATCCTATTAAGTTACAACCAGTCTTTAAAACTTTTATTGACCAAGGAATGGATAAACAAAATGTGGCATATACATACATTGGAATGTTATTGAACCTTAAAAACAAAGGAAATTCTGACACAGGCTACAACACAGATGAACTTTGAAGTGATATAAGCCAGCTATAAAAAGACAAATATTGGTATGATTCCACTACTTATATGAGGTCCCTGGAGTAGTAAAATTCATAAAGATAGAAAGTAGAGTATTGGTTGCCTGTGGGAATGGGAGTTATTGTTTAGTGAGTGTTATTGTTTAGTAGGTGTTATTTCAGCTGGAGAAGATGAAAAAGTTATAGCAATGGATGGTGGAGATGGTTGCACAACGATGTGAATGTACTTAATGCCACAGAACTGTACATTTAAATATGGCTAAAATGGTAAAGATTATGATGTTATGTATATTTAAGCACAATTTTAGAAGATTAAAATTTTAAAAATATTTTAAAAATTAAAAAACGTAAGATAATACTTTTGTCTTACAAATGCCTATATTCCTAAGGTGTTTATTATTTTTAGTCCATCTGGAATTGAACTAAAAGATTAGCTCCATAGTTTAAGGAAGTAAATTGTCACAGGCATTATAGGTTAAATTTTGCCTGACTGACTTAGATAAAGTGGTTTATATTGCCTAAGTGCTGTAGGCCCAAAATTAATAAGTTTTTTTCTTTTGTTTTTGATTTTATAAGCTAAGC